GAGAGAGAGAGAGAGAGAGAGAGAGAGAGAGAGAGAGGGGGGGGGGGGGGGGGGGGGGGGGGGGGATCCCAGCTTAAGGTGGTCTTCATCTGACAGACCCATTATTGTGATGAGAGGAAAAGGAAGGATATGCCCAGTCGGGATCCAAGAGGCGGGGTTGGGATCCCAGACACAAGGTGGGGAAGATCCGAGACTCAAGGTCGGGATCCCACTCTCAAGGGATCTGAGACTCAAAGTCGGGATCCCACTCTCAAGGGATCCGAGACTCAAGGTCGGGGTATAGGTTGTCCTTTCCATCCTAGAGGCGTCCGTGGGCGGGAGGTAGGTTGGGATCGCAGGTAGGGGAGGTGGTCGGGACCCAGACACGAAGTTCTGATTGCAGCGCCAAGTCCAGATTGGGTTCCTAGACACAATCAGGAGGTTGGGATCCCAGCCACAAGGTTGCGATCCGGTTGACCGTATCTCTTTTTTCTTTTCTTCTTCTTCTTCTTCCTCCTTCTTCTTCTCCCTTCTTCTTCTTCTTCTTTTTCTTCTTCCTTCTTCTTCTTCTTCCTTCTTCTTCTTCTTCTTCTTCTTGCGTTGGATGTTGTGTTGGGCCCCACGCGGCACCACTCTCCTAATGTGAAAAGGAAAAGGACAAAAATCTGGCGCGTGTATCTTTCCATGTTCTCTTTTTCATTTCGCGCATTTTTTGCCGAGTGGTGCGGCGAGGCCCATTTGTTTGCTGGTCTTGAATTTTTTTGTGTTGTTGTCAACGACATTAGTCACAGGACATATACATTTCTTTTTTTCTCGTTTTTTTTTTTTTTTTTTTTTTTTTTTTTTTTTTGGGAGGGGGGGGGTGGGGGGCCAAGGGAAGGGTAAAGGTTGTGGCTGTATGGGTTACTAAGACTTACTAGTCATTAAAAAAAAAAGGACTTACTAACTTACTATATTCATTAACCATATCGTTTTTTCCGTTTTTTTTTTCTGTTTTTTTTTTTTTTTGAAAAAACTGTGCTTGTATTTTTTTTGAAAATTAGTATCATTATGCGGTTTTCTTACTGCCCGCCTGTCAGGGAGGGCAGGATTATCAACAGAGGTCTTCTTCTTCTTCTTCTTCTTTTTTTTTTTTTTTTTTTTTTTCGGGAAAGGTTGTGGTTGTATGGGTTGCTAAGAATTACTACTCGTTAACCTTACCCTTTTCTCTGTTTTTTTTTTACTTTTTTTTTTTCTTTGTGGGGGGGAGAAACTGTGCTTGTATTTTTTCTTACATCATTATTGTTATGTGGTTTTCTTACCGCCTGCCTGTCAGGGCAGGATTATCAACAAAAATCTTCCACTTCGGCGGGAGGAAGTCTCACGCGAAGAGGCGCAGCGTCGGATCAAGGAAATCAACGAGCCTTATAAGCTCGAGATTTTAGAAGGAATAAAATCGGAGCCAATCACCATCTACCACATAGGTGAGCCAAAAAAAAAGAAAAAAAAAAGAAAAAAAAGGAAAGGACTACCTCTCCCTCCCCCCCGCCCGCCCCCCCCCTGATAAAGCCAGAAATCTTCCACTTCAGTGGGAAGAAGTCTCACTAGAAGAAGCCTGAGGTTTTGGAAGGACTGAATTGGTGCCATGGACCATCTACCACACCAGGTGAGCCTCAAAAAAAACAAAAAAACAAAAAAAAAAACGCTTCTTTTTGTTGATAAACTGCCCGTGTGCCCAAGGCTGGATTATGACATGGGGAGGAAGGAAGACTCAATTGCCAGCAAGTATTATTAAAATTTATTATGTTTGAATGTCCGCAATGCCCATTATTAATTAATTATTAATTACTGCAAGGAAAATGAGCAATAGCGAGATGACAGAATCCAGATTGCACAATCACATTGAAAGCCAGAAAGTCCCACAGTGTCCAGAAAGCAGTATTGCACCAATATTACACCGATGGAGAATCGAAACACTGAATCCGAATGTCAATGATGAGAGCTTACTCTCGTGATCATCAACATAAGTGTCCAGGCCCTTCCCCCTACTTGGCGCTCGGCGCCCGCCCAGACTACTCCCACACAGCTACTATCTGCCTACGAATTGACAATGCAACTGTTGACGTCAGCAGCCACCGAAGAAGTACATGAAGACGTCGCCCAATGCAGACTATCGCCAATACCAGGTATGTGCCCTCACGCCATCATCCTCGTCTCTTCCTCTCACTCTCTCTCCCTTGTCCTTCACCCACGTCTTCTCCCTCGTGCACGAAGACCACCACTACACCTTGCTGTATCTCACCAAGCCCCAGCCAGCTATGGAAGCTTGGGCTATGGCGCTGCCCTCAGCAGCGCCCTTCCTTCTACACGACGGCACGTGCGCTGCACCTTGCTCTGCGCTAGCAGCAGCCCGCGAGCTCTCGCTCCAGCAGCGCTGCTGCTAACTAGCAAGTGCCGGCCCGCATGCCTGGCCAGGCAGCGAGCTCTTTCCTATATGGGAAAGAGTCTGGCCTGTGCTCTGCCTGGTTGGGCTGGGCCTGTGCCCAGAAGCTTCCGGTAGGCTGGCCCCGGGTCACTGAGCCCCAGCTGATACTGCCCTGGGCCCCGTTTGGTTACGCCTCTCAACTGCCTCTCGTGTATGCTGCTGCAGATGCGGCCCAGGAGGGCCTGCTTCGAAGAAGGGCCTAGAAGGCCGGAACAAAGTGTGGCTGGCCGTGGCCTGGGTTCCTTCAACCAACTGACCTGTCGCAACTGCCTGAACCCCAAATGCGAAAGTGACAACAATGCGCTCTTCGTGATTTCATCAGGCCCGCTTTCACTTAGGGCGGGCACATGCCAGAAATGGGGCCCTTAGGCCTGCCGAGGAACCAGTTCCTCGCATTAATTAATTACTAATTACTAATTAGGTACTAATTAGGTAAGTAGTAATTACTAATTAGGTAAATTAACTAATTTGGTAATTAACTGATCATTAACTGTTAAGGTTTCTACTGTGGAGTGTTTTTTCTTTTTTTTTGTGTAGAAGTTCTCGTCGTGGTTACTAGACTTGGTTTTTGGTTTTACGCTCTGTACTCTCACAGGGTCTGGAGATCTGGATGATCGGACATGATCTTGATGATCTTGTGCTGTATAGGACTTGGACAGGGTTTCAATCTGGACGTTGTTTGCTTGATATTGTCCGTCTGTTTTGTTTTTGGTTTTGGACTCGTATCGTTTGTGGTACCGTCCTCATTGTACTTACGGGAAGGCCGTAGCTTGTTAAGCATTCCGGTTTTGTTGTTTGCTGGTGCTCTGCGGTACCTAATGGGTTTCAACTTTCAAACTCTTCTCTTTTGTCAAGTCGGTAAGTTGCTTTTCTTTTTTTTTTCTTTTTCGGTCTGGACTTCGTGTTACTGCGTCTTTTGTTTACTTCGTAGCTGAGGCTAGTAGGAGGGGTTACATGTGCGTGTGACTGTTTTTATTTTCCGTCAACGCGTTGCGGGTATCGATCGCGCTATAGTCCTGTGCTCGGTTATTAAGGTCTTAATGTTAGTATATAGTAGTAGTAACCGATGCGTCGTACGTCGAACTGTGGAGGTTCTTTTCGGTCTGTCGTCGGAATGCATGAATGGACTCTTGGTTGGTTGCTTGGACTCGGTTGATTGGTCGTCACCTGAGCTGTGTGTGTACTTGTCTTAAGAGTAGTGAATGCTTGCTTCTCTGGAATTTGACTCGTCTTTCGTCTTCTATCATTCATGAAACTTGTGAAACGAAGAGCCTTGGCTCTTGTGGCCAAGGGCATGGGTTTGAATGTGGAAGATTCATTCTCATTTTGCGCATAACGCGGGATTGTTATATCAATCGGCTGTTTTGGGGTGGGCTATTTTTGGGTTGGCTATTTTTGAGTCAGATAAAGGCATATAGGTCGCGATTTATTTTATTTTATTATTTTATTTTATTTTATTATTATATTATATTATATTGTATCATTTTATTATTTTAAAATTTTATTTTTTGTTCTTATTTTTATTTTTTAGGTCTTGTTTTTGTTATGCAACATTGTATGTGGGTAAAAAATTTAAGGTGGAGATAGACAGGAGTTAGGGCGTACCTAATTTGAATACATTTTTCATTTTGTTTTTTCTCCTTTTTTTGGGGGGGGAGGGGGATTTTCGATATGCCCCTGAAAGTCCAATTTATTTGCGGTGTGCCCCTCTGCCGGCCGACGTACCCTGTCGTGCCCCTCTGACAACGATTGAAGTTTCCGAAAAAACCCTGGTGTCGTTTGGGGCTGAAATATGTCCAATATGCCCCCACTGGTACCTCCAAATTTCCAGTATGCCCCAACCGTATAGCGGTTGAGTACCAGCAGACAAATGTTCCCTATGGCCCTACCGGTAGCGTGCATCTTTTCAGCATGCCCCTGTGGCTGTTGGTGGCACTGCGACCGACTTGGGTCGTCGTTGGAGTGGCAGGACGAGGAGTGCGATAGGAAGGGGAAGACGAATGAGAGGAGGAGGAGGAACGGGAGGAGGAGGAGAAGATGTATCAGGAGGAGGAGATGTATCATATGGCCGTATCTTCCCATGTTCTAGCAGAAGGTTCATGCTCATTTTGCACTTTCTCGTCAAAGATTCATGCTCATTTTTCACATTCTTGTTCACGCTGAGAATGTACAAAATGAGCACGAATCTTCCACTAGAACATTGAAAGATACGACCATATCCCCTCCTCCTCCTGTTCCTCCTCCTCCCGCTCGTCTTTCCCCTCCTCATCGCTCTCCTCCCGTCCGAGTGGCTTGAGGAGGCGATGGGGGGGAAGATGAGCAGGAGGAGGAACAGGAGGAGGAGGAGATATGGTCGTATCTTCCCATGTTTTAGGAGGAGGAGGAGGAGATATGGCCGTATTTTCCCATGCTCATTTTGCACACATGTACACAAACACAACCACACACGAGCATGAACACGCACACCCATGCACACACACACACACACACACACACACACACACACACACACAACAAGAACACAACCACGAACGCACACATGCACACGTACACACACACAAACAGACCCTCACGGGGGCATATCACGCAGGGACCGGTGAAACGGGACCGGCGGTCCAGTAAGGGCACCGCGGAAAGTTGGGGCCCCTGCTCACAGGGGCCTGGAGAGAAGTTCTGAGGCCGCAGGGGCATGACAGGGTAAGTCAGGCATCGGAGGAGCACGTCGCAAATAAAGCGAGAACTTTCAGGGGCATATTGAAACCTTTTTTTTCTTTGGTGATGTGCTCGGATTCCTGGTTGGGGGAATGTGTGAGTCGGCGTTACGCCTCTGCACAACATTCTAACTTCTAAGTGCATCTGGACCTGGTAATGTCCTGGGTACATTGAAAATGATGGACGAGTCAAAATGCATCTGGTCAGCATTCATCCCAGATACATGTACCATTCTGTGTTGTGGAGCAAGGGCGAATGTCTGGGTGGCAAAATCTGCCCTGAGTGCTGGGTTATGGGTTGGGGATTCGAACCCGTGTGACCGGATATTTGTGTGGCCTTCGTTCTGCTGCTGCAGGTGATGAGTGGTGGGATTTGTGTGCGGGGCCTCATGTTGAGAGGACAGGAGAGCTTCCGAAAGGCGGATTCGAACTGGAAGCGGTCGCTGGAGCGTATTGGCGAGGAGACGAGAACCGTCAGATGCTGCAGCGAGTGTACGGCACAGCATGGGAGTCGGCGGAACAGTTGAAGGAGTACAAGAGACTCAAGGAAGAAGCCCTTCGAAGGGACCATCGAAGGATCGGAAAGGATCTGAACCTGTTCAGCATTCAGGTATGATGATGATGCATCTAGTCAGCATTCAGGAATGATTCAGGGATGATTCAGATATGATTCAGGTATGATGGTGGATAGGCATCTAGCCGCACTGAAGGACCAGAAAGGATCTGAACCTGTTCAGCATTCAGGTAGTATGATGAATCTAGTCAGCATTCA